GGGTCATGAAGATCTTTTTTGTATAGTTCTTCTGTGTATTCTTGCCACCTTTTCTTTCTTTTTTTTTTTTTTTTGAGTTTCTTTTTTTTTATTAGTTGGAGGCTAATTACTTCACAATATTGTAGTGGTTTTTGTCATACATTGACATGAATCAGCTATGGATATATATGTATTCCCCATCCCGATCCCCCCTCCCACCTCCCTCTCCACCCGATCCCTCTGGGTCTTTTCTTAATATCTTCTGCTTCTGTTAGGTCCGTACCATTTCTGTCCTTTATTGTGTCCATCCTTGCATGAAATGTTCCCTTTGTATCTCTAATTTTCTTGAAGAGATCTCTAGTCTTTCCCATTCTATTGTTTTCTTCTATTTCTTTGCATTGGTCACTGAGGAAGGCTTTCTTATCTCTCCTTGCTCTTCTTTGGAGCTCTGCATTCAGCTGGGTTTATCTTCCCTTTTCTCCTTTCCTTTTGCTTCTCTTTTTTTCTCAGCTATTTGTAAGGCCTCCTCAAACAACAAAAGAATTGATGTTTTTGAACTGTGGTGTTCGAGAAGGCTCTTAAGAGCCCCTTGAACTGCAAGGAGATCAAACCAGTCAATCCTAAAGGAAATTAGTCCTGAATATTCACTGGAGAGACTGATGCTAAAGCTTAAGCTCCAATACTCTGGCCACTTAATGTGAAGAACTGACTCAATGGAAAAGACCTTGATGCTGGGAAAGATTGAAGGCAGGAAGAGAAGGGGAAGACAGAGGATGAGATTGTTGAATGGTATCACTGACTTGATGGACACGAGTTTGAGCAAGCTCCAGGAACTGGTGATGGACAGTGATGGAAAGGGAGACCTGGCGTGCTGCAGTCCACGGGGTGGCAGAGTCGGACACAACTGATTGACTGATCTGAACTGAGCTGAAGGGAAAGCCGAAAGAAATTGAGCAGCTTGCCCAAACTCATACACTCAGTCATCCAGCTGGAAATAGACCTTCCCAGTTCAGTGGATCCAAACCCTTTGAAAATTCGAGGGAAAAAGGGAAGGAAGGAAAGAAGAAAGGAAGAAAGGAAAGAAAGAAGAAAGGGAGACAGAAATCTTCCAAAATGTCCTCCTTTCTCCTTCAGCCCACGCTCCCCCTGGAAGCCAGAGCAACACTGCCGTCTGCAGTCCTTTCTCATAGGCCTTGTAGAGGTGGTCATAGCAGGATTTCAAGCATCTAGGCAGAACTGAATACGGAAAATGTTCCCTCCACTGGTGCTCTCTTCCTTTCCCCAACCATTCCTTCACCTTCCAGGAATTCACCTCTATGTGAAAAGTGAATAAATTTTTACATTCAAGTACCTTTCATCACAAATAGCAAAAATTTTACCCAATACAAATGTCCAAAATAGGGGAACAGTTAAGTAAATTATGATATACCTACAGAATGACAGCATATGCACTCATTGACAAGTCATACTTTGATACTACAATGAATTCATGCATAACATGGAAAATACTCATATCAACTAACAGCTAATGAGGGTTTGGGGCATCTCAGTTGGCTCAGTGGTAGAGAATTCACTTGCCAATGCATGGGACACAGGTTCAATCCCTGGGTCAGGAAGATCCCCTGGAGAAGGAAATAGCAACCCATTTCAAGAGAGAGGGGACATATATATACTTACACTGATTCATTATTATTCATTATTCAATATTATTAAGCAATTATACTCCAATTAAAAATAAATTTGAAAAAACTTATTTCAAAAAGAAATACCATCTAAGGTAGTTGTCCATGGTCAGTGGCAGTATGCACAGCTTTAGCTTCCTAAGTATGTTAAATATTTTTCAAGCATTCCACAATGAAGAACTATTTTTCTTATTCTTTGGCTTATTTAAAGGCACAATAAAAGCTCTTGTAAAAAAGTATTGCTCCCAAGGAAATGGCAGCTACATCACCAGAGGTTGCAAAGGAAGATAAAAGAGGAGACTTCAGAAAACGTTCATGGAAAAGTGAGTGAGGCTGAGCCACCTTGCTGCCTACACCCCCATTCCCATCTCTTCCAAGGCTCCTCCAAGCTCTAGTTCAGGTCCTGCTCTCACTCAGAAGAACTGTCCCAACTCAGGACCTGGAGGAGAGAGACAGGAGCTACTTGCCTCATAGTAATAACTATCCAAATTCCTACTTTGGCCATCGTCTACAGAATTTCCCTTAGAAAGGAAGTCTCCTTAAGTCCCCTGCTCTGAGCTGTATCTCCCATTGGAAAGTAAAAACCCACCTCAGACTTCTTAACTCAGGGAATCACCCAGTCCCTGTACTCAGCATTTCACATGATGAGGCTTCACTGGTGGCTCAGACGGGAAAGAATCTGCCTGCAGTGCAGGAGACCCGGGTTTGATCCCTGGGTCAGGAAGATCCCCTGGAGAAAGAAATGGCAACCCACTCCAGTATGCTTGCCTAGAGAATCCCATGGACAGAGGAGCCTGGCTGGCTACAGTCTATGGGGTTGCAAAGAGTCAGACACAACTGAGTGAGTAAGCATGCATGCACAAGGGATGTTATGAAGGAGGCCAGGGATGCTAGAGGTGGACCCAAGAGTCCTGTGCCCACTTCCTTCTCTGGGTCAGCTCCACCCAGTTCTCCCAGAATGCCCTGGGCTTTGAGGAATGGCAACAAAGGGGACTATCTGAAATGTACCTCGTTCAGCTTTCCCCAGTGTGACTTGGGCCGCCACACTGTTCTTTCCGGAGCACTAGGACTATGCTGCTCACTTACTTTTAGAACACGCACTTCTGATGTCCACCTCCTGCAGGAACATATGTGTACACACACTTGCAGACACCAGCAAGTGCACTGGCAGAGCCACAACCACAAATGCCAGCGTACGTCCCCAGGGCAGGGTGCCCCAGAGATAATCGTAAAAGCCAGTACAAGAAGGAAAGCAGGCAGATAGGCAGGCATCTGAGAGTTCACTTTCTTCTCCATCTCCTTTGATGTATCTTCTTCCTCAACATGAACCCTGTTGACTAAAAAAAGATGCACAATATGAGAGTCTCGAGTTAAGGTTTATTGGGGGCAAAGTGAGGACTGCAGCCAGGGAGACAGCTCCTCAGAGAGCTCTGAGAAACTACTCCAAAGAGGTAGTGGGGGAGGACAGTATACTTGTGATTTTGATAAAGGGGGAGTATATGCAATCTAGCACATTTATTTTTTAGAAAGTTTCTGCTGGTCTCATGAAGCTTCTGCTAGTCACAAGAAACAGTTGTCACAATGAAGGATTTTAGTGCTTTTGTAGATATGAGGAAATACAAGAATTGAGCTCATAATATCAGCTCCCAAGAATATCTAACAACCTGAAGACCTGTGCTGCCAGTTTTCCCAGAGCACAGAGTGCTTCATTTCTGCTCTTCACCTTGAACTCCTCCAGTGGGTGTTGAAGGTCAGCAGCTGCAGAAGCACATGATTTAATCCTTGTAGAGGTAGATGGCAAGCACCCACGGCAAGTGCCAATTTGTAACTGACAACCATAAAGACTGGAGAGTCCCAGGACTCAGTCCCTAGACCTTGTCTCTTCTCCAGATAGTCATATCATGGAAGATCTCATCCAAACAATTCAATAAACTGACAGTTCCAGCCAGGGCTCTCTTGTTAACTCTTATAACAACAATGTTTACAGACCACCTAACAATGGGTAGCAAAACAATGACTAGAAGTAGCACAGAGACTTAAAATTCTACTTTCAGGATATTTTTATTTTATCTTGGAAAGCAAGATTCTCTCTATCAAGTCTTTAAAAGAAAAAAAAGGAAGGGAAGGGAAAGAAATTCTGCCTTAGGGACTTTCCTGGAGGTCCGGTAGGTAAGACTCAGCGCTCCCAATGCAGGGGGCCTGGGGTTCAATCCCTGGTCAGGGAACTAGATCCCACATGCTGCAGCTAAAGACCCCACATTTCTCAACAAAGACCCAGAATGGCGAAATACATTTATTTTTTAATTTTTTAAAAAAAGAAAGTCTGCCTTAAAGTGTTTTGCAAAGAAGTTTAAGAAAGTTCAGACGAGCAGAGTAGAAGATGAGTTTCATGACGTGGATGACTGTACTAACAATAAAATTATACAATTTATTTTTTGTAAACACTTTCAGATTTGTTCTTTCATTTGATATTCATAACTCTATGTTGTGAGCAGATAAAATAATTTCATCCACGTTCATCCTATGTAGAAACTGAAGCCCAGAGAAAGTGATGTTCAGAAGACCATAGTCAAAGCATGGCTTAGCCAGAAATGCAGCTTCAGTCTCTCAGATCCAAGCCTCGGACAGGTCAGTTGTACCTCCTTGCATCCCATCCCCCTCCTGAGCCTTTCACTGCTTATCAGCCCCTGGGAATCATAGCAATAAACAGAAAGGAAGAGCAGTAGACCTGGATTTTCTTTATTCTTCACCTGATGTGCAATGATAGTCTTTCATACCTACTGAAACCCTAAGAAAGTTTATTAATTTGGATTAGATTCCAGTCCTGGTGTCTGAGTGATTCCTTGGACTCAGCAAACGAACCAAGTTTCCAGAGCCCTGAAGACCAGGGGTAACACCCCAGAAGATGGACTCATTTTCCACTCTACCTTCATTGGTGGAGCAGCTGCCAAGAACAAAAGCTAAAATCTGGCAAACAAATGCCATATTGCCTCATGAACTGAATGCTTCTCTGAGGTATCCACCTGTGTATTTGGGGAGAAACTTTTGAGAACAAGTTGAGGAGCAACTGTCCTTCGTGAGATTAGAGAGATTCCATGAAAGAATCTGGTTGTTGTGAAGGAGGCAATGGCTCAGGCAGAAGAACTGGCTGCTGAAATTACCAGGAAGCTGGAGAAACAGAAGAAAGAAAAGAAAACAGAGGAAAGAAAAGGAAAAACTGTCTTTGATTGCTCCGGCATCTTCAGAAAACAGCAGTAGTACCCGGAAGAATGTGGAGAAACAAGCAAAAGAACTAAAAAAGAGTAAAAGCAAAATCTCCGGGCTCCTCGGGAGAATAGAATGGAAGACCTATCTATCTCCTTCTCCAGATTCAGGAAAAAGAAATCTTTTTCCAAGGAGGAGCTGGTTAGTAGTGATCTTGAAGAGACAGCCGGCTGTGAAAGTCTTCCCAAGAGGAAGAAATCTTTCCCCAAAGAGGAACCGGTTAGTGACCCTGAAGAGTCAGAAAATAAGCGAGTCCCCAAGAAAAAGAGGAAATTCTCTTCCAAGATGGAGCCACTCAGCAGGGGGCCTGAAGAGGCTGCTGCCAGCAAGAGCAGTGGCTCCAAGAAAAAGAAAAAGCTCCAAAAGCTATCCCAGGAAAATTAGAATGGACATGTCCCTAGTGGGGCATAACTTGCAGAGATCTTTCCCAACCCATCCCTTATGGCCCAATAAAAATAAAAACAAATTCAAGAGGAAAAAAAAGGAAGATTAGATTCAGTTACACATCTTGGGGAGTGGGGGAGTGGAGAATGGTTTAACAGAATACAAGGTTTATTTTCTCTCACATCAAAGATGCTGAAAGTAGGTGTTCCAGGGCTGGACATAGTCATCAGAGACCCAGGATCTTATCCCTCTGCTCTGTCATCTTCAGCACTGGCTTCCATCCCCAAGTTCCCTCATAGTCCAAGTTGGCAACTGGTGCTCCAGACATCAAGTGTACATTCCAGCCTAACATCAGAAGAAAGCAGGGAAAAACTATAGGGTCATCCTCTGAGAACAGCATCGAAACATGTATATTATCAAGTGTGAAACAGATCGCCAGTCCAGGTTGGATGCATGAGACAAGTGCTCAGGGCTGGTGCACTGGGAAGACCCAGAGGGATGGGATGGGGAGGGAGGTGGGAGGGGGGTTCAGGATGGGGAATACATGTAACTCTATGGCTGATTCATGTCAATGTATGGCAAAAATCACTACAATATTGTAAAGTAATTAGTCTCCAACTAATAAAAATAAATGAAAAAAAAAAAGCTTTACAAAAAGTGCCATAGACGCCTTCTATTCAGATTTCTTCAAAGAAAATTTTATCACATGGCTAAGTCAAGCCACAAGAAAGGCTGGAAACAAATCTATATTCTAAGTGGCTAATCCCTACCTAAACATTATGTTCCTATTAATAAGAAGGGGAGAATAGATATTGGAAGACAACCAGGATTCTGTTGCCTAATTGCATTCAACAGAGGACTAAGAAAAATTTGCCTTCTATTTTAAAAGGCCCTAATCCAACACTCAGGACTTCCCTGGTGGTTCAGTGGTAAAGAATCTGCCTGCCAATGCAGGAGATGCAGGAGACATGGGTTCAATCCCAGGGTCAGGAAGATTCCCTGAAGAAGGAAATGGCAACCCACTTCAGTATTCTTGCCTGGGAAATCCCATGGACAGAGGAGTCTGGCAGGCTACAGTCTGGGTCACAGAAAGAGTCAGACAGGACTTGGCAACTAAACAACAGCAACACATATATATACATATTAATGATGTATATTGATAATAAATAATATATTAACAATTAATAAATAATTAATAATATATTAATAATTAACAATATATTAATAATATAGTTTTAATGTGGTCATTCCACCACTGCCAAAGACAGATTAAGTAATACTAGATCAGTGCTCAGGCCTCAAATAACCAAAGAAAGAAAACAATATATGTGAAACAATTGTTTTTAGATGATGGACAACCAGCAAGAGAGAACTGTAACTACAAAGAAAAGAAACAAATGAAATAACCCCTATGATGACCACATTTCTCTCTGAAGGTATTTGTTAGACTCCAGACACAGTAGGTACAACACAGTGGTTTCACTCAATGCAAGAGATGTTGTTTGTTGTTCAGTCACTAAGTCGTGTCCGACTCTTTTGCAACCCCATGACCTGTAGCCCACCAGGTTCCTCTGTTCATGGAATTTCCCAGGCAAGAGTACTGGAGTGCGTTGCCATTTCTTTCTCCAGGGCATCTCCCTGACCAATGGATTGAACCCACGTCTCCTGCTTGGCAGGCAGATTCTTTACCACTGTGCTGCCTCAGAAACCCACAAGAGACATTAGTTGAAGTGAGCTGAGGTGGCTGAGATTTGCAAGGCAGAGAGAAGGACGCTATGCATGCAGAGATGTACCTTTAGGAATCTCCTTAAGTCTTTGACTGGATACAAGTCTGTGCCTGTATAGGGTAATACAAAAGAAGACCAATCAAAGGAAAACAGAAACTTGGCCAAATATTCTGGATAATTTTTTTTCTACTCCATAGCATTAAGGCCAAACTAAACCTAGAGTAACGACTACTTCAGATTTACTTTAATGAAGCTTAAAAACAAGCTTCAAAATGATGAAGACACTCTGCCAGTAAATTAATTACATGACAGAACAAACCTATTCACTCTTCCATTAAAGGAAAATGAAAAGATCCAACCAGGAAATGTTTTAAAAAAAGTCCACCTAGAATTCTATAATTTAAAAAAAAACACTTCAAAAATGAAGTTTAAATAAAGACGTTTTCAAGCAAACAGAACCTGAGAAAACTCATTTCTATTATTAAAGTGCTTCAGGTTAAAGGACAATAACTTCAGATGGAAATTTAAACCTCTGGAGATAAATATAGAAGACATTTATTTCTCACTTTTTAACTCCTTAAATAATTGTTAACTTTTTTTTCCCCATTTATCTTTATTAGTTGGAGGCTAATTACTTTACAATATTGTAGTGGTTTTTGCCATACATTGACATGAATCAGCCATGGATTTACATGTGTTCCCCATCCCGATCCCCCCTCCCACCTCCCTCCCCATCCCATCCCTCTGGGTCTTCCCAGTGCACCAGCCCTGAGCACTTGTCTCATGCATCCAACCTGGACTGGTGATCTGTTTCAGCCTTGATAATATACATGTTTCGATGCTGTTCTCTTGAAACATCCCACCCTCACCTTCTCCCACAGAGTCCAAAAGTCTGTTCTGTATACATCTGTGTCTCTTTTTCTGTTTTGCATATAGAGTTATCATTACCATCTTTCTAAATTCCATATACACGTGTTAGTATACTGTATCGGTCTTTATCTTTCTGGCTTACTTCAGTCTGTGTAATAGACTCCAGTTTCATCCAATAGTTAACTTTTAAAACAAACCCCAAAAAAGTACTGTGAGATTTATATCATATGAAGAAGTAAAATCTATCATAATAATAGAACAAACAAAGGGAGGAGGGAAAGGAAGTATAACGCTATAAAGTTTTAAAATTCTATGGGAAATAGCATAAAATCAACTTTTTGCCTAACTCTCTTACCCTTATATTTCTTATTCCATCAAATCCTAATGAACCCAGTTTTTGTTCTCAACATGACTTTCAGTCCCTACTCTTCGAAGTATCCTCCCCTTACCTTCCAACTCAGCAGGACCCTGTGGCCACAACGTAGAATTGTAGATGCTGTAGGGCTAAGAGTTGGACGTTATCCACTGCAAAGCCCTTACTTTATAGATAAAGAAAGAATTCAGACCTCCAGCTCCTTTCCCTTCAGATACGCTTACCACGATCCTTTGTTTCCATGACCAATGCTTTGCTTGCCTTGTTAATTCCCGTGCTGTGCACACTTCCATTTAATTTCTCCAACTTCATCTTTTTATATTCATTGCTACAGTTAATTGCTTAAGAAATTATTAGTCATATCAAGAGCTTCTATTGCCATTTTCTGCATCTCACCCAGGTTTTCAATACTGCTCCAACTCTTTTTTCCCATCTCTTTTTAGTTCCTAGTAGAATTTGTATTTTCAGTTTTAAAACTTTTTTTTTTTTTTTTGGATGTGCTGTTCATCCTGTGAGGTATTAATTCCCTGACCAGAGATCAAACCCAGACCCTTGGCAATGAAAGATAGGAGTCCTAACCACCGGAATACCAGGGAATTCCCCTCAGATGCTTACCTTTTAGTTTTCCTATGTCTGTGTTTGTCTTCTTTCTTACCGGTGGACATTGTAAAATTTTGGTTTTCCAACGTTTGAACCACCCATATGCTTTCCTATGGGGAATGTCCATTGTGGGAGGTGGGTTTTTTAAAATAGCCTCCAAGATTCCTAGCCTTGGTGTACATGCACCTTCTCTCAGTTATTCAGACACTACTGCTGTGAATTCTCAGTTATTCAAACACAAATTTCAGATGTAATCAAGTTCCCAGATCAGTTGGTCTTAAAATAGGGAGATTAGTCAGACGAGTGTGACCTAATCACCCTTTAAATCTGGGTCTGGTGTTGGGGACAGAGAAAGTCAGAGAGATGTGAAGCACAAGAGAGGGATTCAATGAGGGTGAAATGCTCCATTCTTGCTTTGAAGCTGGAGGGGACCACTCGACAAGGAAGGTAGGCAGTCTCTCACCTCTGAGAGTGGCCCCTGGGCAGCCAGCAAGGAAACCACATCACCCAGCCAGCATCATAACCACAAGGAATGGGACTTTCTACAACCACATGAGTTTGGAAGAGAACCCCGAGCTCTAGCTGAGAGTACAATCTGACCGACACCTTGATTTGAGCTTTGTAAGACGTGGAGCAGAGATCTCAAGACTTCTGCCCTACAGAACAATAAGCTAATATGTGAGTGTTGTTTTAAGCCCTTAAGTTTGGTAATTTGTTATGCAGCAGAAAGAAACTACTACACCAGTCCATTGCAGGATGAAGGCATATGGTTTAGGTTTGCCTCTGTTAAGACAAGACAGCAAGGAATTCCCTAACGGTCCATTGGTTAGGATTCAGTGCTTTCACTCCCAAGGACCTGGATTCGATCCCTGATTGAAGAACTAAGGTCCCACAAGCCACTCTGTGTAGCAAAGAAAAAAAAAACTCAAAAAAAGAATTTCCTTCCAGAAACAGACAAACCAAGACAACAGGCCTAAAATGAAGTCACTTATGCTAAGCCTCATGTCACCAAAATAAGACTTAATTATAGTCTTGACTTTCCCAGAAATGAAATCTTTCCCAGAAATGATCAATCAAGAATCGCCTAATCAGGACTTCCCGGGTGGTCCAGTGGCTAAGACTCTGCGCTTCCCATGCAATGGACCCAGGTTCGATCCCTGGTCCCTCATGCCTCAACTAAGACCTGGTGCAACTGAAGGAAAAGAAGAATCACCTGATCAGCTATAGTTAGGCAATCTGCCTTATAGAGCTCTGACATTTCCTTCCCCGGTGGCTCAGTGATAAAGAATCCTGCGATGCAGGAGACACAGGAAACGCAGATTGAATCCCTGGGTCGGGAAGATCCCCTGGAGGAGGGCATGGCAACCCACACCAGTATTCTTGCCTGGAGAATTCCATGGACAGCAGAACCTTGCAGGTTACAATCGATA